CATGGCGCTCATCTCATACCACCGATGTGGAATGCATTTTGTCTATCAACACAAGATGGACAACAAGGCACATCGTAATCTACTCGGGTACACTACTTCCAATCATTACTCTCCTCATAATCACCTCACATCTATTATCTATCACCCTCAAGTAGTGAGGACATAGAACTATCAGCACATGTTAACATCTGCCCACTTTTGAACTATAGGTCTATAGCACATCAGACCTGCCAAACTAGTTGTGAATCGTCAACCTAGCACCTCTCTCAAGATCTCATTAGTACCATCAGCCAGCTTGAACCCATGAGAAGGAAATGATATATATCCATAGGATTAACCCTCTCTCTTCTCTCTCTCTCTCGATTCTCTATTTCTTTCTCCCTCCCTTTCTCTCTTTTTAAAAAAGAAAAAAAAAAAAAAAGAGAGATAGCCTCCTTCTTTTCCCGGAATCACTAGCCCATCATAGACAATTAGTGGAGGATGAGGGAAAGGGCCCTCAAAAAAAAAAAAAAAAAAAAATGTGAGCAACCTATTTTCCTTCCCCCAATCACTAGACTCCAAAGAGAATTACCCTTGTACACCAAATAATGGGCATTAGTGGAGGGTAAAAGAAGAGGCCCTCAAAAAAAAAAAAAAAAAGAGAAAAAAGAGAGAGAGAATAAGAGAAAAGAAAAGAGTTAGAAAAAGAGACCAAGTCATTCCTCGTGGGGTGAAAGGTTCCTTACCTATTTAGAGGAAGTACGACAACTGATGGTACTAACAAGATCTTGGCCAGAGGGATTAGACGTGTGCAGCACTAAGAAGGCAAATTCATATTTGGGCTTATTGTCATACTCTAGCATAGTTTTATACTCCTCACTGTCTTAACAACTATTTTCTTACCACTTTATATCATTTTATTTCTTTCTTAGAACCACTTACTGCAGCAAATTCTTCTCTTACAGGAACACCTCATAGTGCACAACATGGAGGTTTACACGTCCTACTATTGGCAACCAGATATTCCAACTTCATGAACTCAAAGGCTCTTTCAACCCAAATGCAGATCAACTGGTTTCTTCAAATATGATGAGCAAACTGGAGTCTATCTCCAGTATTATCACATCCCCTCTAAAAAAAGAGGTCTTTCACCCTCCATGTCATCCTCGCCCCTTATGCGAATGAGATACCACTTATGTAACCTCAGAATGAGGTCAAACTGTTATCACTCAATCAAATTTCTTCATTTTAAAAAAAAAAAAAAAAACCCTAAACCCTAAACCCTAAACCCTCCCTTAGTGGGAGAGTTGCCACCGGATCCCATAAGAACTCCGAAGTTAAGCGTGCTCGGGTAGGAGTAGTCCCCCGATGGGTGACCTCCCTGGGAAGTCCCCGAGTACGTGTGCATGCGTATCAGGATGGGTGACCTCTTGAGAAGTTCAACCCAAGACAATTATCAAAAAAAAAAAAAAAAAACCCTCAACCCACCTTAGTGGGAGAGTTGCCACCGAATCCCATAAGAACTCCGGAGTTAAGTGTGCTCGGGTGGGGTCAATCCCTAGATGGGTGACCTCCCTGGGAGGTCCCCCAGTACATGTGCATGCGTTGCAAGACGCTTGTTGTGCATGTGCTGAAAGGCATCGCTGCCCAGCATGTGTTATAAACCCATATGTCACCATGCCAAGATGCCTTGAGTATCGAAGAACGTGTTGAGAGGCACCCTTGACACCATGTCGAAAGGTATATGTGGCATCCATCTCACCATGCCAAGATGCTCCCAGCTCCGAAGAATGTGCCGAGAGCCTATTCGGCCACCATGGCGAGAGGCATATGTGGCATCCATCTCACTATGCCAAGACGCCCCCAGCAAAGAATGTGTCGAGAGGCACCTCTACCACCATGCTGAGAGGCATATGTGGCATCCATCTCACTATGCCAAGACACCCCCACCATGCCGAGAATGTGCCGAGAGGCGCCTCTGCCATGATGTTGAGAGGCGCAAGTGGCATCTATCTCCAAAGAATGTGCTTGAGAGGCACCAAAGTGCTTGGGTGTGTGAAGTATCAGGATGGGTGACCTCCTGAGAAGTTCAGCCCAAGATAGTTATCAAAAAAAAAAAAAAAAAAAACCCTAAACCCTAAACCCTCTCTCTATGAATGGAAAAGGGGTGCTTCGGATCGGGAGGAATTGACGGGGGCCTGCACAAGCGGTGGGAAAAGGATCACTCAGTCTCTTTTCAGAGACGACTCATCAATTAGCATCGACTAGCAGGGGCTGATGGGGGCGGTGCCACAATGGTGGCGGCAGCACCCGCTCAAGCTGAGGCAGCAACACCCAAGGCCACAAAACCCAAGGATATCTGGGCCCAAACACATGTGCGGCCTATTACTACCAAAGTAAGACCTATGCGGGCAGAGCCAGCCCAGATCCAAACTCAAGCCCCATTCATACTAACCCAGCCCACACAAATTCCTAATATGTCGGCTCAACCCACTCAACCCTTAGCCAAGACTTGGGCCCAGTGACTTACAAGAATACAGCCAACTTGGGTTATATTGAGGAAGAAGGAATGAGAATAGTCTCATTCTCTTTGAATGAGGTCTGTTAGTTAGCTAAGGCATTTCAGTTTGCATTGATTAGACGTTTTACCACAAAACATCCCCATTTAGATGACATCTAGAAAGTATATTTAGCTCTTGGACATTTTCAAGGAAATGTAGCCATTGGTACTTGTGATTATTGGAGTATCTTCATTCGATTCGAGCTCGAGGTTGATTATCAAAAAGCCTAGAGCCGAACCACATGGGAGATTCAAAATGTTATTATGTACACTCATAGATGGACCCCTAAACCCTAAACCTTAAATCCTAAACCCCCTTAGTGGGAGAGTTGCCATCGGATCTCATAAGAACTCTAGAGTTAAGTGTGCTTGGGTGGGAGCAGTCCCTAGATGGGTGACCTCTCTGGGAAGTCCCCGGGTGGGAGCAGTCCCTAGATGGGCAGCACATATTATGAACCCCTCCATCACCATGCCAAGATGCCCCCAGCTCCAAAAAATGTGCCGAGAGGCACCCCTACCACAATGTCGAGAGGTGAAAGTGGCATCTATCTCCAAAAAAAAAAAAACCCTAAACCCTAAACCTTGGTCCTTTCGATACAATCAAATAGATTGCCACAAGGGCGCCATATTCTAGGAGCCCAAACTATGTGATTTAATAAATCTTCCTGAATCTCTTGTCTCCAGCTATCAGTGAGACAATATACCTTGATATTGTTGATCATTCTTTGATTCAAAGAATCATCCCATCTTAATTGAAAAAGGAAATATTCTCCATTTTTTTATTACAACACAATAATTAAATACGAATTCTAATTCTAGTCTTTTTCTAAAACTTCAATGTTGAGTTTTCTAGATGGACGGGATAAGGTATTAGTATATCTGATACATAATTTAAATGTGCAAATTTATCCTCTAAAAATGAAAATATTGAATGAATAGCCCCTAGTATATGAAAGAATGAAAAAGTGCTTTCGTTGTTGTGGGAACACAGCATACAGCTCTCCACTGTACTGCACTCTACAAGTGTGCTTTGCTTGTTCCACCCTTCCCCCTTACCATGGCAAGTCTTTGTGAAAAACTCCGACATTTGGAGTTTCATTTCTGACGACACTCAAAAAATCAATAGAAGTTACTAAAATTTACTGCGGTGACGATACTGTAAGGGTGGTCCTGCGGAAAAATAGCTCGACGCCAAAATGATAAAAAGCTTAACACCTCTTATTTTATAAAATATGAAAAATAGATTCTTTTTCAAGAGCGATTCATCCTTTTTAATTTCCTGGTGTGGGTATTGGCAGGAATTAATTGAAACTTTAGCATGGGCTCATGAGCGCACACCTTTAGCAAATTTGATTCAATGGAGAGATAAGCCAATAGAAAAAGAAAGAATTGGAATTGATGCCAATAACATATTACTTGACATCAATAATATATGTTTATTTTGTGACACAAAAAGACTTATATCAAGAAACTATAAAATGAAGCATTTTGGTGAAGCTATTATTATATTGCACATAAAAGATAATAAAGATCACTCTCAAAACATCATTGGGATGTCATAAAGGAGTTATGTTGAGTAAGTCTTCGAGAGATCTAATATGTAAAGATGTAAATTTTATGATACCCTTGTTGTTGAAGTAGATAAATTGAATCTTGATTAGTGTCCTAAAAATGATTATGATGCTAAAGTGATGTAAAAAAATGTTTTATTCATTAGTTATATGAAGTTTTAAAGATACGCAATTAATCAATTATATGAAGTTTTCTATGATGTGTCTATATATTTTGTACATAATTAGAGAATTAAGTAGATATTTAAGTAATTTAAGTGTGAATCATTGAAAGGCAACCAAAAGAGTTTTGCGCTATTTACATAAGATAAAGAACAAGATGTTTACATATAAAAAAATAAAATAACTAAAAGTTAGTAGGTATTATAATTTTATTTTTTACTAAATAGATTAATCATAGAAGATCTACTATGAGCTATATATAAATATTGATTAGAAGAACTATATTAGAAAGAGTGTTAAGCAATCACTTATAACTTCTTCCACCATAACATAGGAGTTTATAACATGTTATAAGACATCTAATCATAAGACATACTTGATTGAAGAATTTTTTCACAAGGTTACAACCTTTAAATGTAATTGAAACACTACTAAAATTATTATGTGCAATAAGTCAATTATTATGATTCTGAAAAAAAAATTAAGAACTTGATGAAGCCTAGTTATATAGATATTAGGTTCCAAATAGTTAAGAAACAAGTTCATAGTGGCCAAATTGTTTGGGAAAAAAATTATGAAAATAGATCCACATACTAAAAGACTTCCAACAAAGGTTTTTTATGAGCATGCTACTCATATGGGCATAATACCTTATGAAGATATGTACTTGTCGTGAGAATTTACCTTTTGACACATTTTTATAGACACAACCTTTAATTATTTCATACATGAATATATTTTATGATTATTTTTCACTCTTAATATATTTGATTGATATCCATTGAAAATAAGATGGACTAGTTGGAAATGTACAAGCATGAATCATATTTCATATATTACATTTACACATATATAATTGTTTACGTCATTCATTGTATTAATATATATATGATTGTTGTCAAATTTAGATACATATAAATGTGACAAAAAATCTATTTAATATTCTATTAATGTAATGATAGATGAGATTGTTGGAGATGTGTTTGGTAATAATATCAATGTATTGAACTCATAAATTACTAATATACAATATCAAGTTACTAAATCTATGTTTTCTAGGTAGGGGATTATTAGATTTGATCTCAATATGCCCAAATTATATATGAATTTTATATTAAAAGATTATCGTCAAGTTAATCTTAATTAAATTGATTCATCTAAATTTAAATATTTGAGATTGAAACATCTTAAGTATGAAAATAAATATAAATATGTTTAGAGATTGGGTACAATTTTAATTTTTGGTTTTCTAAGCAAAAAATAACATCCAAGAACAAACCACTCTTTATCTATATAAAAGGGGCTCATAGTCCTCAGGTCACATATTGTGAGTCACTCTTCAAAGATCTCATTACTCTTTTAGAAGGTTATAAGAAAACCCCTTTTTATTAATAAAAAATGGTACACCCTATTTTGAGTCACTAAGGAATCAAATATAACTTCTTATTCATTCTCATTATATTATTATCATTCTCTATTGACTTGATACTATATCCTTCATCTCCAATAAAGCCTCATGCTGCTTACACCTCCTCCACTTTTGCACCCTCCTCAACCCTAATAGGATCAGTATCCCAAGCAAAGGAACACCCACAATAGTTGAAAGGATGATTGTGAGAATGGTGTGTAACCTTCTTTCTCTCTTCCTATTGCCAGGCTCCTCAAGAGACCAGTCTGGCAGCAGGGTGAAGGAGAAGTTCCAGTTGAGAATCTGGATGCTCTCGCTGTAATTGGATGAGGGACCCGATCCCGCAGTGAAACCCACGTAGATGGGATTTATCTGAGCGATGACGATAGAGAAGTTGACAATGCTCTTGAGGGGTACCTCGTCGGCATATCCTGCCGAGACCTCGAGGTTCTTCATCCACCCAACGTAATTTACCTTGTATATCACTGGTTTCTCCTTCATCAGCTCGATGTTGGCGTCGCTAAGAGGGGCAGTGACATTAGAGATGATGCTACTGATGTCAACAGCAACGTGGTAGTTGGCAGTATCGTACTTGTTCCATAAGGTGTCGATCTCCATGGCCAGTTGCCTTGTGGTGTTCCCTACCATGTGGCCGTAACTTCATCAAACCTAGATCGAAATTTTCAGCTGCTCACAATTATTAGTTAGAAATTTCTCATGTCTCCTTTGAGCCCTAAAATCGAAACAATTACATAAATAAAATAGAAAGTTTCATGAAAAATAGCACCTCTTTGATAAGTCTTCATTATTATGAGTTAATAATTAGTAAATAATATAGTTTATAGCCTTAACTCATGACAAATAGACTTATATTTGTGTTAAAGTGTGAAAAGTGGTTTTCAGTTGATTAACGTAAATTTTTAGGTAATTATGTGATTTTATACAAATTTATATGATTTTTATAGTTTTACTTTTGAGATAAATGAAGAAAAAGAAATTAAAATTAAAATAAGACAAAATGGGAGCCAGCCAATCAAGCCTGCAAACGAGTCGGAAGCGCAATTAGGGAGTAGCCATGAGCAGGGGCTTGAGCGGCTTGGACCAATAGGGGCACGTATGTGTCACCCCCCTTCCACGTCACTGGTGGCCAGCCAATTGTGGGGCAAGGAATGGTCATATACACGTAAGAAAGGAACTTGATCAAAAATATGATATTACTATATATTCATCAAAAACTTCGGCCCACAATCAATGTGGGACTAAACCCATGTCACACCCTCCTCAAAAAGGATGGACAGCTAGTGTGGGTTCGAATCCTCTTAGAGTCAAAATTTATATTTTTTATCAGATTATCGCGACTTTCCTACAGATCACCAATGAAGGATTAAGCAACCAGAATTGCTAGATCATTGGCGAAAATCTCGTCAATACAATTCGCAGAGCATTGTTATTAAAATTATTGAATGATTCGTGATAAAAGGATCGTAAATCTATTGAGTAAAGTATCTCTGATTGATCGACGAACAAGCTATCGTCAAGAAGAGGACAATATGCCAGCAGATGAGTCGCCACCTCCTAAGAGCATACCAAATACTATGAAGAGCCTCCTCTTGCTGAACGGACTTGAGGATGAAGCTCCTTGACACACGCCCCACCTCTATTCAGCTCTTCTCTATCGAGTGACAGCCACTAAAGAGCTGCAAAGTTATCATTTTTTCACTCTACTAGGTAATAGCCACCAAAGACGATTTGATGACCCATTTCATTAATCTCTAGACTTTGTAAGGAGATCTAGAGATTGCCCACGTCATCTTTTTCCAAGGAGAGCTTTCGAGGCCATAGACACTACACGACCATCCTTCCAAATGCTTAGGATTCTGGTGCATCACTGATACATGGCCGCCACGACACTAGAACTTTACTTTTCTGCTTTCAACTTAATTTTCATTTTATTTAGTGATAATTTGTTAATTTTAAATTTAGTAACATATACTTCATTTAATTATGATTATTTCGACTTTTATAGATCTTAATTTGATCAATTAAATCGTCTCTAATCGCTTACGTAAGAATTGTCGGGTGGAACTCTATTTTCGCCCGATTCGTGTTCACCAAGCGCTGATGTCATCTTGACATCTGCACCCTTATTTCTCTTTTTTGTGAATTTTAATTATATTTTATTTTCATTTTTTAGTATAAAATTTATAGAAAATAGTATTCTTTACAAAAAAATTCTGAATAATTACCAGATATTATATTATATCTCTGTGATCAACTTAGAAAATTACTACTATTTTTGAAATTTTTATTGAATTATAATTGATATATTTGTTTAGAAATACTTCTAAATATCTAAAAATTTATATTTTCTAGTTTTATAATTTTAAATTTACATGATTTACTATACAACGACTAAGTCACCCAAGCGAGGAGAGGAACTTCTTGCATTCTGGTTCTGGACCCAACCTGCCGCCTCGGTCCATGGCAGCAGGTTGGGTCCGAAGTGCCGCCTCGGTCCGTGGTGGGGGCTCATGCGTTCTGGCTCCGCCTCGGTCCGGCGCCTCTACAGGGTCAGGGGGTGCCGCCGAACAGGTTGGCACGCTCTCCCCGCGTGGGGCGCCCGACCTGCCGGGTCCACGTGCCGCGGCGCACGCCGGCGTGCGCGGCGAGAACGGGCCCCGTGCCAGGTGAAGGACGGCTCGTGCGTTCTGGCTCCGCCTCGGTCCGGCGCCTCTGCAGGGTCAGGGGGTAGATGGCCTATCCACTTGCCTCGACTGAGATCCAACATGAGAAATATTTCTATGGACAGTAGAACAGGTTCGCGAGCGCCCCGGCACGTGGCACGGCAGAGCCGGCCGACCAGCCAGCACCGTGCGCCGCGGCGCACGCGGGCGCGCCAAAAAAGTGGCCTGGTCCTGGGTCGTTTTATGTCCACGCGTTGCATTTGTGGGGATCCGGCTTTGGGTAGGTGTGGGAAGGATAAGAACCGTCGGGCTCCGCCGGCGCGCCCGGCGTCGTGTTGCCTTCGCGAGCCCCCGCCGGGCGCTGTGGCGGGCGGCACGTGCCTTTAGGGGTCGCCCGGTGGCCCCCGGCGGCGTGCGCACGCGTGGCACGTGCGCCACAGCCGTGCCGCGCCGCGCCGTGCGCCGCGGCACGCGCCGGCGCGCGCGGCTGCCGGTTTTCAAGTCACCTAAAAGAAGTTGAATTTGAGGTTCCATGTATTGCTATCGACTTTGGGGCTAATAAAGGGAGGTGGAAGGCCAAATAATTCCTAGTTTCCATTCCAGCTCCAAGCTCCTTTAGTTCACGACTATCAAAATTAAGTGAAGGTGGGAGTTAGGGGCAGCAACTTGTTGATTTCATTTATTGTTCTTGTTGAAAATATATTACAAGTATATAAAAAAGTAATTTTATTTTTTTGACCCATTTTGTTTGAAATTATAAAAAACAAGTATGTTAATTTGGGTTTTTGGATCGAGTCATGGAACGACGCGGAAGTGTGGAGGCTCAAAGAGGCAGGCCTTGGACACGGAGCCCTAATATTTGATTGGCATCAAAAGCAGAGGGGAGGGATTCCGTGGCTCACCATTCGTACTATGGTCGAACAGTCCTAAGAAACCACCGAAGCTTTCCGGGGGGCTCTGTCGCATGTCGGTGGTCATCACGAACGCCATGCCGTCCCCGAAGTTGCTCGCGTTGGCGCGCTTGCGGATGAGGACGGTGAAGTTTGTGTCGAAACTCGCTGGCCATGTTATCGCTTGCCGGTTGTACAGCACCCGGCCAATGTTATTGAGCAGTAGGTTGGGGTCCGTGCCGTTACCCTCTTCAGGGAGGAGGGGCGATGTAGCCATCGCGCACGCTGCTGTTCTGCATGCATCTGAGCAGGCCGCCGGGGCCGCAACTATTTGCCGGGAACGAAGGAAAGGATATTAGAGGTGGCGGATTAGCTTCCGCAGGAGGAATTAGGAGGACGGACACAAAAACCATAGCACAAGGCCACAACGACGTCATGGAGCAAATCATTTTGATTGCCCTCCCCTGGTGGTGGCAGGCAAGAGTCCTCATCGCTGGTAATACATAGCCGCTCTCTTACTAGTGATGGACGTAGCAGCCGTCTGATGAGTGGCTCCAAATTCAATCGGAAGGGAACCATTAGGTTCGATAAATTCTGGCCTGCTTGAGTCAAGTAATGGAGAAACGGCTCTTGTTTTGTTGATGGAGACCTTTCGAGCTCGTTCTCGTGGAAGCAACTGGGATGGTTTCACATCGAAATCGAGTATGTAATAAGACGCGGGGAAAGGTAGAATGTAGATGAATGTTGTTTGCGGAAGTCGAGTGGGTTGGTTTCTCATTGAAATCAAAGACTGGCGAAAGGGAGTGAAGACGAGCATCGATTACGCAGTAGTGCTGAAAGCTCCAGTCGCTACGCGTTGCATCGTTTAGTTGTAAGTCGGGAAATAAATGCAATAAGAAGCCGGGATGCCGCATTAACGCGGAGGCCAATCCTGTGGGAAAATGCCACCGGAGTCGTGAATGGCATCCGTCACATTTGACTCCAACAATCCTCCGGAGACCGTTCTCTCTCGCGTCATGGCCGCCAAGACACGCAGGCCAACCCGCCACCCGTCGCTGGTGAGAAGAAGGAGAGAGAATCGAAATGGAGCTGTCAGAGTATATCCGCCTTGATCTCACTTGAAGAGTAGGGGGCCAAGCTGCCGGAAATCTAGGTAGCAACGTGCCGTCCCGATAGTTACGTGCACCCCCATCGGTGGTCGGGAACTTGGGACGGTCGGATGAAGGGGTATTATCCAATGACTGTGGTCAGTAAAGTAGGTGCATGGGGAAGTTACTAATTGAGTTGTTGATTTAGATTTGTGTTTCCTTAACCCTGTGCCTTCAATCTCCATAAATAATTCGCTTGTATTGATTTGTTCCCCCGTTGGTGTGCTTGTGTCCATATGACTTAGTGATAATTAAATTGTTGCACTGATCGCTTCGGCCGAGACGATGCGGAGAACACATTGTGCAGTGCGGTGACCTGGTTCGTCTTTCATTAGCTTGTCCCATCTTTTGTGACCACAGGCCTGCACCACGCCAATAAGTCTAGGCAGCATCAAACGGGGAGCCTTCTCCGGAGGAGTTAGGAGGTTTCATCCGCAACTTACACCTTTGGAAATTGATGCCATTCAGGATCAGTTGGAGATGCGCTGGAATGAGTGGTCGTTATGAGATCCGATCACTTGCGGACATCATAGCACCGAATACGGTGACCTTGGACACGTGGCAATATTGCACAACGATAATCGATTAAGCAAAATTTAAAGCCTTGTCCGGTACTGGGCTTTTGTCCTGTGTGTTGGTGATGAGCGTCGCCTCCTTGTGCAAGGGAAGAAATACAGATACAAGAGAAGGGGTGAGGAAAGGAAGAAGAAAGAGGCACACCCGATTTATGTGGCTTGGGGGAATACTTTTATGCCCACGGTCACATAAGTTGTTACTTTGGAGAGAGAATCTTCTTACAGACCAAGAGGCGGCTCCTCTCTTGTGTCACGTTGCTAGGGAAACCGTATAGAGAAAACAAGTGAATAAGGTCCTGATAAAAGTTTTTGCTCCAGGGGTCGCTGCCCCCCGTGAGAATGCCCCCTGGTTTGGTGTACCACCCTTGGACCGGAGTTGATAACTCTCCAAATAACTCTAACAACCTCTCCCTCGTGACCTCGAAGATGGCCAGATCTCAGCTGTGTTAGCAAATATAGAGAGAGGGCAGAGCGATATTATTTTCACAAGAGAGACGCAGAGAGCGGATGAAGAAGGAAGACGAGGCGGCGGAAGAACGAAAGGCCGGACACAGGCAACCTTTTGTTACCCTTATATAATAGTGACCCAAAAAATATAAAAGGCCCATAAACAAAATATTCCAAGGTCATTAACCAAGATGTTACGACTATATCTCACAAGATGGTCAGGAGGTCATGACTCCCCTACCACAGGGGTGTGAAGACTTGCAATAAGGCCGACCTTCTGGGCCCTCACTAAAAATAACCGACGCATATATGGGGAAATAAGGGTACGAGGAAGAAGACAATATCACTTAAGTCGTAAGAAAACAATATGCGTAGTCGTTCTGAAACGATTTGCATATCGTAACAACTTTGCCAGTGCTCGACTTCAATGGAATATTTAAAACATATTTTCGGGACCAAATAATCTTTGATAAAAACAAGAATTATATTTTACAAGAGTCCAAGATAGCAAATAAAGTTGAAAAGAAACACATGGTATTAGGAAAGGTCAGATCTTCATGACTCTGGAAAGGAATGGAGAAACGAGAAACTCTATCGAAGACTCAGAACTGCCTTTACACGACTAGAGATCCATGTCCAGAAAAAAATGTTCGAATACCACATCAAATCCCTGATACCCAGTCCCTCTCTATCGTAGAGCAAGATGCAGGCTCGATCTAGAGCTGTACTGCGACGCCCCCATAGGTGAATCCGGTCTCCGTTCTCGAGGAGGAGGGTATGATGATGTCTGGCCGGCTCTCCGGCATCACCAACAGCGGTTGATTCGGGTTCCCCAGGATCTGCACCACCTGCCTGCTCCTCGGCCGACTCGCCGGGTTCGTGTGGGAGCACATGAGCCCCACCAAAAGTGTTCTCCTTACCTCCTCGTCGAACTGACACTCTAGTCTCGAATCCACCGCCTGGAGCAGCTTGCCGGAGATGTAGAGGTCCCAGACGTGATCCAACAGGTTGTTATCGTCCCATCCCAGCAAGGACATTCTCCCGCAGACCACCTCCAGCACCACGACGCCGTAGCTGAAGATGTCGGACTCGGGGGTGGCCTTGCCGGTGTAGCCGTACTCGGGGGCGAGGTACCCGATGGTGCCGGCGAGGACGGTGGTGGAGGTGGTCCGGTCTGTTCCCTGGGCTAGGCGGGCCAAGCCGAAGTCGCCGAGGTGGGCCTCGAAGTCGGCATCGAGGAGGACGTTGTTGGGCTTGACATCGCGGTGGACGACGGTGCCGCCGCACTCCTCGTGGAGGTAGAGGAGGGCGGAGGCGAGGCCGAGGAGTATGCGGTGGCGAGTGGGCCAGTCGAGGGTTCCGGCGGTAATGTGGCGGTCGAGGCTTCCGTTGGGCATGAACTCGTAGACGAGTTAGGAGGCTCTTGCCGCTGTGGCACCACCCCTGAAGCTGCACGATGTTCTTGTGACGTAGACGCCCGATAGTGCATATCTCCGCAAAGTACTCCCTCTCGCCTGATGAATATAAGACAATGGTGCGATCAAAAAGTGGTAAAACGTAATACACTGCCGGCAAGTGAGTTTAGTGTACGGGTAAACTCATTTGTTATCTGGTTGATGCTGTTACATCGGTATGGACGAGGTAAAGTCTTACCAGCTCACGCGCATTCCTAATTAGTTGTCAGAACTAAGCTGCCAAATCAGAGCATATCACATTTTTAAGACTACTCACATGTGCAGAGGTAAAGTTATTCTTGATCATGGCAAACCTTGTTTGGAGGTGGCGGAGATTCTTTTGACAGCAACTACTGAAGGTGGATTAGAAAAGTTCCCCCTGTAGACACTGCCAAACCCACCCTTACCGAGTAAGTTGGCACTGCTGAAACGCCTTGTGGCCGTCGAGAGCTTGTCGTACGTGTACACCTTGGGCGCATTCGCTGCGTTCCTCAATCACCTCCTCCACTTCCTCACCCCGAGCAGGATCAGCAGCCCTAGTAAGATAACACCGAAAGGGATCGACAGGATGATGGCGAGAATGGTGCCAACTCTATGCTTCGAGTCCGGCAGTGGGGTTGACGAGAAGTTCCAGCTGAGAACCCGGATGCTCTCGCTGGCGTCAAGCGAGGGACCCGAGGCCGCGGTGAAACCCACGTAGATGGGATCTATCTTGGCGATGACGATAGAGAAGTTGAGGACGCTCTTGAGGGGTTCCTGGCCGGCGTACCCCGCGGAGACCTCCAGTTTCTTCGTCCACCCGTCGTAATTCACCCTGTAAGTCACTGGTATTTCCCTGTTCAGGTCGACGTTGGCTTTGCTAGGAGGCGCAGTGATGTTAGAGACGATGCTAGCGATGTCAACACCGACGTGATATTCCTGGATTTCGTATTCGTTCGGTACGGTGTCGATCTCCACGGCCAGCTGCCCCGTCGTGTTCCATGCTAAGTAGGTAACGTCATTAGTCCAAGACCAAAATATCCAGAACTTAAAATTATCAGTCAGAGACTTTCAAATATTCAAGATAATTAGATATTATAGCTTCAAGGCTTTACGAACAGCATCGCCTCTTTTACGCCATCGACTATGTGCCCGCATCAATGAGAAGACTACCCAAGTGAGGAGAGGAGCTTCGGTTTCTGTAAGGAGTCGAATAGAAACGATAAATAAGGTTCTCTCATATGTCCCACCTTCCACATAATACATACGTGAATTAAAGGTTCTTGATGTTGGAATGTGGATTCGGGAATCGATTGATCATCAACCTTTGTTAATCGGTCCGGATGTAGAGAGCAATACATTAAACCTCAAACCCAACTTCTTTTAGATGATCTAAAACTACAAATTGAAAACATTACATTCCTTGAGGGAATATCCTGGTAACACACAAAAACTTAATGCGAGTAAAATTCCATTTTGTTTAAAATTATATAGAAAAAAATCAATTTAATTTTTTAGATCGTTGTCGTGCAACGGAGCGGAAGTATATAGACTAAAAGCGAGCGTTGTATACGAACCCCTAATATTTCATCGCATCGAGAACTGAGAGGGATTCCGTGGCTCACCATTCGTACTCTGGTCGAACAGGCCCAAAAAACCGCCGGTGCTTCCTGGGGGCTCTGGCGCATGTCGGTGGTCATCACGAACGCCATACCGTCTCCGAAGTAGGTCGCGTTGGGGCGCTTGCGGATGAGGACGGTGAAGTTGGTGTCGTAGTTCGATGGCCACATTATCGCTGGCCGGTTGTACAGCACCCGGCCGATCTTATTGAGCAGCAGGTCAGGGTTCGTGCCGTTACTCTCCTCAGGGACGAGGCAGAGGTAACCGTCGGTCACGCTGCTGTTTTGCATGCATCTCAGCAGGTCGCCGGCATCGCAGCTACTCCGCGGGAACGAAGGGAAGGATATCGGCGGAGGCGGCTTAGCTTCACCTGGAGAAATTAGTAGAATGGCGGATACAAAAGCCACGGCTGTCGGCCACAACAACGGCATGGAGCACATCATTTTTATTGGCTTCCAGTGGGGTGGTAGGCAAGTGTACTCGCCGGTGGAAATATTTAGCCTCCTTACTAGTGATAGCCGCACCAGCCATCTGATGAGTGACTCCAGACACAGTCCGAAGGAAAGCATTGAGTTCTTGTTCTGCTGCTTTAGTCTTCGAGAAGGCGCTCTTGTATGCCTCTCCCCACCACAAGCGATGCTTGTGAGGGTGTGAAAACGAGCATCGCTTTTGCGCCAGTCCTGAAGACTCCACTCCTCACAAGTTGCACCGTTTAGTTGAAAATCACAGAATAAATGCCATAGGAAGCCGCCATTTCCCAGTAATGCGGAGGCCAATCTTCTAGAAGGATGGCGCCGAACTCGTGAATGGCCAATAAACGAGCATCACATCGACTCGAAGAGCCCTCCCGCAGCCGTAGTCTCTCGAGGTATGGCCGCCCGGACACGCAGGCCAACCCGCCACCCGTCACTGGTGATAACAGTGAGAGAGAATCAAAACGGCGCTGTCTGAGAGTACCCACCTTGATCTCACTTAAAGAGAAGAGGCCAAAGCTGCCGGAAATCTAGGCAGCGACATGCTGCTCCAATAGTTACAAGTCCCCCATCGCTGGTGGGGAACTTGGAACGGTCGGCTCAGGTTTATGGAATATAGGTGTTGTTTTAGTCACTAATTGAGTCGGGCTGCTTAGAAGTCGGCGGTCCTTAAACCTGAGCCGTTAATCTTCTATAAATCAATCACTTGCATCAATTTGTTCCCCAGTTTGCCTCTTATTCACGACTTTAAAAAAATGAAATTATTAAGCTAATCGATTCGGCCTAGGTAATGTGGAGAACACAGTGTGCGGTGCAATGACTTGTGTCGTCTTTCATCAGCCGGTCTCATCTTTTGCCACCGGAGGAATACATCACGCCAAAAAGTCTAGGCTGCATCAAATTCGGAGACTTAACCGGATTTACGGGGCCTATATAGTCCACAAATCATACTTCTGCAAATTGATGCCGTCAGGACCTAATGAAGTATATACGCTAGAACGTGAATTGGTTACGAGATCCGATCTTCACCAACATAATATCAGCTCGTTGGCTTTGGACTCGCCCCAAAATTTCAACCAATGAGCATCATGTAAGTGGAAAAAGTAGAGCGACGGTCATTGATGAACAGTTGCCTTGTCTGTCTTCATCGACGAAGTGCTTCTTGCATACTGTGTTGCTGATGAGCGTCCCCTCCTTTTTCTGCAGAAGAAATGTAAACACCCTTTTTACGTCGTTCGGAGAATACCTATACGTCTACGGTCGGATAAGTTCTCGATCTTACTTCTGAGAGAGAATCCTCTTACACACCCTAGAGACGCCAGCTCTCCCCCTCTTATATTACGGGGTTAGATAAACATTATTGTGATAAAAAACAACAATTCCTTACTGCAAAATTTTGCTCCGCCCAACCCCCCCCGTTGAGAACCCCGCTGGATCCCCGTACTCGCCGAAGACTGGACCAACCTTATGTGCAACAATCTCCCCGTCGTGATCTCAAAGATGCCCAGACCTCAAAAGGTCAGGAGATCATGAGTCCCCCACCACAGGAGTGTGGAGACTTGAAAGTAGGCCGCCTTTCCGGGGCCTCATCTAAAATAATCGACGCATACACAGGGAAATATGGACACGGGGAAGAAGTCGCACTCTTTTATGTTAATTCCAAGGGAGATGCCCACTTTGGGAAATAGTAATTATAAATATGTGATATGCGAATTTTTCTGAAAAGATTGATCATCCTAATACGTTACCCATTCTACTTAAACGGGATATCGATAACAAAGAAATCAAATTTGCAGGAGTAAATAACCGCGTAAAGACGAATTCTACTTTACAAAAATTCAAGTTTATAAAAGAAAGACACCTTCTACTTTACAAAAGTTAAAGTTTACAAAAGAAACACACGGGAACTGTCATATCTTCCTTCAGCTGGAACGCAACGGAGAAACGAGAAACTCTATCAATGACTCAGAACTTCCTTCACACGACTAGAGAAACACCCATGTCCAGGAGCCTATTTTCGAAAACTCTGTCTAATCTGCGATACCCACTCACCTATCACCGAGCAAGGAGAAGACTCGATTTCGTGCTGTCCGGCGACGCTCCCATCGGCATCGTCGTGCTGGTGGACATGATACTGACAATCTCGAAGCTGAAGTCCATCATCGAGGGAGAGGGTATAATGGTGTCTGGCCGGCTCTCCGGCATCTCCATCAGAGGCTCGCTGGGATTTCCAAGGATTTGCACCACCTGCCTGCTCCTCGGCCGACTCGCCGGGTTCGGGTGGGAGCACATGAGCCCCACCAAAAGTGTTCTCCTCACCTCCTCCTCGTCGAACTGACTCTCCAATCTCGGATCCACCGCCTGGAGCAGCTTGCCGGAGGTGTACAGTTCCCAGACGTGATCCAGAAGGTTGTTATCGTCCAAGCCCATCAGGGACCTCCGCCCGCAGACCACCTCCAGAACCACGACGCCGTAGCTGAAGACATCGGACTCGGGGGTGGCCTTGCCGGTGTAGCCGTACTCGGGGGCGAGGTACCCGATGGTGCCGGCGAGGACGGTGGTGGAGGTGGTCCGGTCTGTTCCCTGGGCTAGGCGGGCCAAGCCGAAGTCGCCGAGGTGGGCCTCGAAGTCGGCATCGAGGAGGACGTTGTTGGGCTTGACGTCGCGGTGGACGACGGTGCCGCCGCACTCCTCGTGGAGGTAGAGGAGGGCGGAGGCGAGGCCGAGGAGTATGCGGTGGCGAGTGGGCCAGTCGAGGGTTCCGGCGGTAATGTGGCGGTCGAGGCTTCCGTTGGGCATGAACTCGTAGACGAGTAGGAGGCTCTTGCCGCTGTGGCACCACCCCTGAAGCTGCACGATGTTCTTGTGATGTAGACGCCCGATAGTGCATATCTCCGCAAAGTACTCCCTCTCGCCTGATGAATATAAGACAATGGTGCGATCAAAAAGTGGTAAAACGTAATACACTGCCGGCAAATGATTTTAGTTTACAGATAAATTGATTTGTTATCTACTTGATCCCGTAATCTCGGTATGGTCTGGATAAATCATAAAGACCTATCAGCTCACGCCCATTCCAAGTACGTTCTCAGACTTAAGCTGCCAAAACCGAGCATATAACATTTTTAAAGCTCCTCACATGCAGAAAGGTAAGGTTATTCTGAATCATGGCGAACCTTGTTTAGAGGTGGCGGAGATTCTTTTGACGGCGACAACTGAAGGTGGATTAGAAAAGTTCCCCCTGTAGACACTGCCAAACCCACCCTTACCGAGTAAGTTGGCACTGCTGAAACACCTTGTAGCCGTCGAGAGTTTTTCGTACGTGTACATCTTGGGCGCACTCGCTGCGCTCCTCGATAGAGACTCGAGCCACCGCCACCTCCTCCACTTCCTTACCCTCTTCGCTCCCAGCAGTATCAGTAGCACAAGCGAGGGAACACCCACAACAGTAGAAACGACGATTGCGAGAATGGTGCGTAACCTCCTTCCTCCCTTCCCGTCGCCGGGCTCCTCAAGGGACCAGTCCGGCAGCGGGGTGAAGGAGAAGTTCCAGCTGAGAATCCGGATATTCTCGCTGTAGTTGGACGAGGGACCCGAGCCCGCAGTGAAGCCCACGTAGATAGGATTTATCTTGGCAATGACGATACAAAAGTTGAGGAGGCTCTTGGGCGGTCCCTCGCCGGCGTATCCCGCCGAGACCTCGAGGTTCTTCGTCCACCCGTCGTAGTTCACCCTGTAAGTCACTGGTATTTCCTTGTTCAGGTCGACGCTGACACTGCTAAGAGGCGCAGTGACGTTAGAGACGATGCTAGCGATGTCAACACCGACGTGGTATTCCTGGGTTTCGTACTCGTTCGGGTACGTGTCGATCTCAACGGCTAGCTGCCCCGTCGTGTTCCCTGCCAAGTAGATAACGTCATCAGTCCGACAATTACTACTCCCTGAATCCACCGACTGAAATACTTGGCCAAGAGTGGCAGTGACCTTGTAATCTCCCCCTTGGGCCCTCAAAATTAGAAAACTCAGATATATATTATACCCTTAGTACCTTCACGAATAGATCTTCTCTCTTAAGAAAACGACAAATGAAATAAATAAGTTGTGCTCCTACTCCAACTTTCTCGAGTAATGTATTGCTATTAACTTCCATTTATTGGTCCCCATATTGATAGCAATATATTAACGGCCAATGTTCACTTTTACTTATTCACAATTCAACTCACTCATTTATAAATAACATGCAGTCACAAACTAAGGGTAAAAGTCATTTTTTAACTTCATAAAGCCGAATTATGCTTGGCGACGAAGTAGTTCTGGCTATCAAAGATGGGGACGTTATCGAATTCGACTTCTTTTAGACGCCCTAAAATCTCAAATTGAGAATATATTATATTCCTTTTGCGATTCTTGAAGTCATACACAAAAGGAATTGCAGTACATTTCAATTTTTGTCCCATTTTGTTACAACTCATGACAGGAACTATTTTAATTTGGTTTTAGGATTGAGTAATGCAACGATGTTGAAGTGTCGACGCTAAAAGAAGCAGGCCTTGGATACGGAGCCCTAATATTTCGTTGGCATCAAAAACAGAGGGAGGGAGTTCCGCGGCTCACCATTCGTACTGTGGTCGAACAGGCCCAAGAAGCCGCCGAAGCTTCCCGGGGGGCTCTGACGCATTTCGGCGGTCATCACAAACGCCATGCCGTCCCCGAAGCTGCTCGCGTTGGCGCGCTTGCTGATGAGGACGGTGAAGTTGGTGTCGAAGCTCGCTGGCCATGTTATCGCTTGCTGGTGGTACAGCACCCGGCCGATGTTATTGAGCAGCAGGTTGGGGTCCGTACCGTTGCCTTTGTCGGGAAGGAGGTCGATATAGCCGTTCCGCACGCTGCTGTTTTGCATGCATCTCAGCAGGCCGCCGGGGTCGCAGCTATTTGCCGGGAACGGAGGAAAGGATATTAGAGGCGGATTAGCTTCCGCTGGAGAAACTAGTAGAAGGGCAGACACAAAACCCACGGCCCACGGCCACAACGACGGCACGGAGCAGATCATTTTGATCGCCCTCCTCTCGTGGTAGGCAAGAGTCCTCACCGCTGGTATTATATAGCCCGCTCACTAGTGATGGTGGCTCAGTGGTGATTAGTGGGTCCATCCTCAATCTGAAGGTCTCCACTGGGCTCTATAGATACTCGTTTTTTCTTAGATGACGGAGACCCTTTGGGGTGTATTGGTGAGATTGACGCTCGGCGGAGCCACGTCTCCTCCTCCCTCCCCCGCGTCCCCACCCCGCCACCCCGGGGTCGCCCCTGCGCGGGGATATGTACAACGCGAAATGGAGCATCAATTTTGTGGAAGTCCTGAAAGCCTCTGCCGTCACCAGTTGCGCCGTTTAGTTGCAAATCAGCGAATAAATGCAATAAAAAGCCGGCATTTCGCATTAACGCGGAGGCCAAACTTGTGGAAGAATGCCGCTGAAGGGCATCCATCATATCAAACTCGCCATCCGTCACTAATGAGAACAATGAGAAAGAATCAAAATGGTGCTGTCCGAGGATATCCACCATGCTCTCACAAAAAGCGAAGCGGCCTTAGCTGCTAGGCAGCGACCTGTTGGTCCGAGAGTGGGGAAGTTGGAACGGTCGGGGCAGACGAGTATTGTCCGATGACTGAGGTCATTAGAAAATGGGTGTTGTTTAGGTTACTAATTGAGTTGGTTATTTAGAAGTCGGTGTTCCTTAGCCTGGCCCCTTCATCTCCCATAAATCTCTCTTGTATTACTTTGTTCCCCGGTTGGTCTACTTGTATGTATTTGACTTAATCATAATTAATTTTTTTCGCTAATTGTTTCTACCGAGGCAATGCGGAGAACACAATGTGCAGTGCGTTGACCTGGCTCGTTTTTCGTCAGCTAGTAACCATTTCTGTGACCAGAAGGCCAGATAATGCCAACAATTCAAGGTCCCATCAGAGACGGGGCCTTCACCGGAGGAGTCAGGAGGGTTCATCCGCAGATCACGCTCTTCGAGATGGACAATTATGTTTGTCTCTCTTACGTCGTTGACTGCGTAGACCATTCTTGGATGGCGACCCCGTGTCCACGTAATCGTTACTAATTAGAGGAGGCTCGATTAGGAGGGGCCACTCTGATTCGGTTGACCGTCAACTGCCTTTCGTTGTTCTCAAAGCTGATGAAAATAGACTGCTGCTGAGGGAAATAGGCAGCATTTTGGTTTTCAGCGCACTTCGGTTCGCCACTGGTTTCGAAGTTCTCCGATGGGAATGAGGGGGAGTAGAATGAGCCGTTGTTGCCGACTAATCCGGCTGAGTCTGAGCACGGTTGACCAGGAAAAGTGCCGTCGCGAGAAAAACCGTCGATGACATGTCGGAAATTAGCTTGTTTGTCGTCCCTTGGACTCCCTCGGCCCGCGATCGGCAATAATCCTCACCGGTCTCCTCAGGAGTGATAGAGGGAGCTGTCGCCCGATGACCAGTTTCAGACCTAGCTTGGCCGGACAACCCACCCCCCGATCTCAGAATATATGAATTATTATGTCGGCAGTGGAGGCGCGGTGCATTTAACAGCGAGATTATGACTTTAAACTCCTGGACGGAACCCGGAGGTTCCTCTAGCAAGGTCTGAGAGCAGTTAACTCTGAGAGCTTAACGACGGCGGGGATACGGAGTTTTCGTTGACGTGATCTTTTGGTCGTCCGTGACAGCATGTCGACACAAGCGAAAGTAATGCCCACCCTCCTCTTTGGTAGAAAAATGAGACTAAACTTTACCTAACGCGGCTGGTGGTCTTTGTCAGTATGAATTTGGTTTGCTGTATATTATGATTTTCTGGGTCAAATTGAGTGCAACAAATGTCAAGAGCCAGACCAATTAACGTGCTAATCAATTTACTTTATGAACAGGAGTAGTCTTTGAATATTCAATCATACTGTATTCAGGCAAACGAAGGGGTGGAAATGAATACCTAGATGAAACTCTGGTTAGTTCAGTTTACAGTCTGTACACTACGACCTCACCTAGCTGATGATAACTATATTTTTTATCATAATGATAATAAAAATAAAAATGCATAATTATATTGACTATGTAGACTTACTTTTCTACAGATGTCTCTATCTCCCTATCACTGTAAAATCCTTTCACACCATTCTCTTTTCTTAAATAAGAAAAGGCGCATGGCAGCTTGAAAAATCTCTTGAATCACATGGGAGTCTGGTAAAGGTTAGAGAAACACTTTGCCAATATTTATAAAAACTAAGCATATGTTTAGTACCTCAAAATTATTATTTTAGCTTTGTATGTATCTTGTCGTCATCAAAGTTGTCTCCAAAAGACAACACTTTAAAGAATACGTTGATAGGTTGGTGGGATATTATGACATTGGAGTAGATCGTGTTGATATCCCTGCTAATGTGGTCTCTAGTAATGTTCGCCTTGTTCAGGTAGGTGCCAATCTCCATGACCAAAAGCCTAGTGATGTTGCTTGGAACGTTGAGGTCACCATCAATCTTAGAACTACCAACCTATGCTTGTGTTGATTTTGATCTTCTGTATTTCTTAACAGTCATAAAAATAAAATACTTAGATCTGTAGATTAAAAAACTTATTGGGATCTAACTTACATTGTGAACCATCTTAAGGATTAATTAGCAGAACTCTTAGGAGATGAGATAATTTTCACATGAACACTAAAAGAATGATAACTAATGTAAAAAACAATACAACTTTATGCTTGATGCAATATGTAAATGACCCAATGATGACTAATTACCTTAGTAATCTTCTGAATTACCTTTCCACTTCAATTGTGTGTAACCTATATTATGAAACTTCCTATTTCATAAGCTTTAATCAGTATTAATAAATATGGTTTGTTCAAAGATGCAATAGCATTGAAGGTAAAGCGAATAATCAAAGAGAATTCAAACCATTGTACAAACAATCAGAAGAAGTGATTTAGTTGAGCTAATCAGATTAAATTAGAATAACTATTTTGGCATAAGACAGAACTAATATACACATAATTAAGTAGTCAAGAGATGAGAGGGATGGACATAAATTTTGCGGGCTCCTTGGTTTGTTTTTTTGTACTAATCTTTCATGAAGATTTCGTACTAGATAATCACCTACCCAATAGTCAAATAGCAAGTTAGCATTACTTACCGACAATTGCATTGTTTTTAAATAATCATTCCTCCAAAATCTTGTTGTGGCCCATCATATTGTATATTCTTAACTCCCCTGCACATGATAGTCTTCCCATAGTATTATCACTCCTATTTTTTTTGGAGCCTTTCTTTTTTTGATGCTGACGAAAAATACAAAAGGGTAAAATGATACTAATAAACTATCATAATTAAGTAGTTTATTAAAAATTTGATAGATTTTATTTATTAATCATAAAAGTTTCATATGATTTCAAAATGTTGCAAGACCCATCCTATCACTGTGATAAAATTCTTGACTCCCCCTCACATGATAGTCTTCCCATAGTATTATCACTCATATTTTTTTGGAGCCTTTCTATTTTGGATGCTAAACTAAAAATACAAAAGGGTAAAATGATAATAATAAACTATCATAATTAAGTAGTCCATTAAAAATTTAATAGATTTTATTTGTTACTCATAAAAGTTTCATATGATTTCAAAATGTTGCAAGACCCATCCTATTGCTGTGATAAAATTCTTGACTCCCCTTCACATGATAGTCTTCCCATAGCATTATCACTCATATTTTTTTGGAGCCTTTCTATTTTGGATGCTGACCTAAAAATACAAAAGGGTAAAATGATAATAATAAACTATCATAATTAAGTAGTTCATTAACAATTTAATAGAGTTTATTTATTACTCATAAAAGTTTCATATGATTTCAAAATGCTGCAAGACCCATCTTATTGCTTTCTATTTCAAAAAGGGCAATGATAGCAATTTTACATTCACTAGGTCATATTCTAACTCTTCACAAAATCCTTTATTTGGATTGTATTACTAATAGTTTTTTTAATATTAATGTTCTTGTAATAAGAGGATTTACTCACTTGATTTGATAAAATTTAATATTCATAATATCTTAATTACCGCTGCAAGTGTCAATAGGCACCTTATGTGAAGAAGGGATAACACGACCAAAAAAGTGAGTCAACTTACTAAATGAAGAAGATTTTAAATCTACTATGACAAAGTTATTACTCAGGAGTAAATATGACTACACAAAAATAAGCTCAAATATCGTGACAAAAAGTAAACAAGGATAGAGTATTACATGACCATTCAATACATTAGAAATCCTCCACAATGAAACATTTATATTTGCATGCATGGGTCAATGATAAGTCTTTATTATCATGAATTAATAATTAGTAAATAATATAGTTTTAGCCTTAATGCATGATAAATAGACTTACATTTGTGTTAAAGTGTGAAAAGTGGTTTTCAGTTGATTAACGTGAATTTTTGGGTAATTATGTAATTTTATACAATTTTTACAATCTTACTTTGAGATAAATGAAGAAAAAGAAATAAAAATAAAAATATTATAAAATGAGGGGACCCACTGATCAGCTAGGCTCGCAAATGGGTTGGAAGTGCAGTCAGAGAGTAGCTACAAGTAAGGGCTTGAGCGGCTTGAACCGATGGGGGCACATGTGTGCCACTTCCCTTTCCACGTCATTAGTGGTCAGCCAACTGTGGGGCAAGGAGTGGTTGTACACATGCAAGAAAAGAACTTTACTTAGAAATGTAGTATTATTATATATTCACTCAAAAATTTGGTGCACAAGTGATGTGGGACTAAACCCGTCACCTTCCTCAGAAGAGATGGGGAGCAACCGGCATGGGTTCAGATCCTTCGAGAGCCAAAACTCATATTTTTATTTGATTATCACAACTTTCCTGTAAATTGCTAGTGAAGGATTAAGCAACTAGAATTACTAGATCATTAGTAAAAATCTCGTCAACGTGATTCACAGAGCATTGTTACTAAAATTGCTGAAGGATTCACGATAAAAGGATCACGAATCCATCGAGTAAATT